TATTGCCTGATACCCAGTATTTTGAAAACTGTAGTTTCATACAGCTTGTGTTTTTATTTTTGTTGTTTTAGTTGTTTCAGGCAGGCGAATAAATCTGGTCCTTGTTATTCTCTCAGCCAGAAGCAGAGTTGCCTTCAGGTTTTAATTTACTTTGAAAATCTTTTGCTAGCAGGATAATAAAGTTGAAAAACACTTTTATTTTCCAACTCAGTCTACTGCTGTGGCCTCTTTATGTTCTTCTTAATTCTGCTTGCAAACTGAATAGCTCTTACTTTAGCTTATGACTCTTTTCTAGTCCTCTACTATATACCACAAGGACCAGCCAGCTGTTAATTTCAACATTTTGCATGGAGATCTCCTTATCAATCAAAAGTTCTTTTAAGAGTGTTTTCCATTTCCATGCTAACATAGACTACAGTTTTGGAAATTGTGTGTGTGTGTGTGTGTGTGTGTGTGTGAGAGAGAGAAAGAGAGAGAGTGTGTGCGTGCGCTCACTCCATTATAGCAGTTTCCTAACTAATTTACCAACCTTTGTTTTAATGCCTTGTTTCAAAGCCAATGACACACATTTCAGTTTTTTATTAGGACAGAGCCCCATTTGTGAATATCAATTTCCTTATCATTTAGTTCTTGATACATTATAAGCTGCCCCTAAATTTTCATGTCTTAAAACAATAATTTGTTTTTTGGACATAACTTTGTACATCAGCAATCTGGGCTAGGTTCAGCTGAGCAGTTCTGGCCTGGATCAGGCTCAGGTAAACTCAGTTGTACTCACTCATGCATCTCCAGCTAGCTGGTGGGTCAGCTCAGTCTGGTTACTTAAAGGAGAATTCAGTCAGGATGATTGAGCCTTACTCCAGAAGCCCGTTTAGTTGGAAATGGTTCTGAAGTATTAAAACCTGTGTTTTCCTCATTGGGTTAATTAATCAATTTATACTGAACATAATTTTTGTTATGTTCATGTTTAAATCTACTATATTACTATTGACTTCTTAAAATTATTATTCCATTTCTCCTTCCATAAATTAGAAATCATATATTATTGAGCTATATCCACAGTCCTTTTTGAGACAAGAGTCTCACTAAGTTGCAAAGAATGAACTTGAACTTGTGATCCTCCTGCCTTAGCTTCCCAAGTCGCTGGAATTACAAGTGTGTGCCACCCACCGCACCCAGCATTATAACACGTATTCTTTTTTTTCTGGTCACCGGGGATTGAACTCAGGGGCACTCAACCACTGAGCTACATCCCCAGTCCGATTTTGAATTTTATTTAGAGACAGGGTCTCACTGAGTTGCTTAACGCCTCATAGTTGCTGAGGCTGGTCTTTGAACTCGGGATCTCCTGCCTCAGCCTTCTGAGTTACTGGGATTACAGGCATGTGCCACTGTGCCTGGCTTAACATGTATTCTTTATTTATCAAAATCTAATATTAATTGTTGCTTTGACTCTGTTTCTGGATAATGAACTGATTTTAGAGCACTTTAATTCCATTTTTTTTTGTCTTAAACTTATATACTATTGTTATCATTTAGTCACTGTATATTTTAGCTCCTATATGAGGTTATTATTCATTTATATTTTACCCATACATTTACCACTTTGATGCACTTCATTCCTTCAAGCACTCCTGGGTTTCCAAATAGGGTCAGATTAGCATACCCAAATAGAGGTGGTGGGTGAAGGTCCCAAGAAGGATCAGAAATGCCTTGCATTACAGGTCCTTCAGGCAAAGGGGAAGACCAATTCCTCAGGCAGAGGTAGAAGGGCTGCTTCTCCTGGAAAATAAAATGTACATTAGAACCTGCCCATAGGATCTCATCTAAATTTTTGGGATGCCATTCCTTCCCAATGAATGATTCCTCAGTGTAACAACAACAACAACAACAAAAAGAGTGTTGTCAGCCTTTTTTCTGTTGCTATAACAGAAAACCACAGACTGAGTAACTAATAAACAATAGAAGTATACTTGCCTCACAGTTCTGGAGGCTGGGAAATCCAACATCTGGCAAGGGCCTTTCTGCTGCACCAAATGTGGTGGAAGGGCAAGCAAACACACATGAAACAGAGAGGAAAATTGGGCCAAACTCATCCTTGTTATTAGTACCCTCCCAGGATAACAGTATTCATTCATTCATGATGGCAGAACCCTCATGACTTAATCACCCCTTAAAGATGCTATCTTTTAACACTTGTAACACTAAGATAGCACTTAAAGATGCTATCTCTTAACACTGTAACATTGTTACAATGGAAATTAAATTTCAACTTGATTTTTGGAAGGAACAGTCAACCATAGCTGTGACCTTATGAGGTTGTTAATTTGTGTTCAACCAATCCCAGGATTAGACTTTGGGTTTGGCCTTCAGAAATCTCAGCCCTATGGCTATAGGAGATGAGCTTTTTTTTTTTTCCCCAAATCCTTTCTGAAGACCTTAAGCTGGGAATTTAAAGTCCTGTACTTCTCTAATTTCTTCAGCAAGCAACCAATCAATCCTCCTATACTTAGTTTAACAAAGATGTTCTAAGATAGCAAATATTTGGTCTTCCAGAGTCTTGACTTGTATAAGTGCTTGATTGAAGGTGATAATTTAACTTTTGATGCTTCATGGGATGGACTACAAGTATTCCTCTTTATCACTGGGAAGGTTATTGGTGCCTTTAAATCTAATCAGACTAGGGACCTAATGCCAGAAAATCCAGGACAAACACTCATTCTTAAGACTTTTGTTGTTCTGGAATCACTTTCAGTACCAAATTCTGTACCAGTCAGGGTTCAACCAGGGTAGAACCAGTAAGAAATATAGTCATGTGCTACATAACTACATTCTGGTCAATGACAGACTGCCTGTATGATGGTGGTCCCATAAGATTATCTTGCCTAGTGACATAGTAGCTGTCTTAGGTTTGTTTAGTTATGTTCTATGGTGTTCAGACCATGATGAAACTGCCTAGTGATGCATTTCTCAGAACATATCCGTCATTAAGTGACACACGACTTTGTGTATACATACTGATTCTATGTGTGTGTGTGTGCACAAGCGGGAGTTAATTAAGCTGTCTCTATAAGGCTATGGTCTCCATATCTGATGCTAGTGCTTGAAGTTCAGAAAGCAGGTAATCAGGAAGATAACAGGCTGAAACCCACACACATAAGCTGGCACCCCACAAAAAGGTACTGAAGCTTTCCATTCTTATTGCCTCTGACCTTGGTGATGGGGAGTCCTGCAGAATCCAGAGCTCTACATCAAGAAGTTAAACACACATTCACAGCTCAGAAATCAAAGAAGCTAACAGAGGATTCAGGGAAATAAAGAGAAATTGCAGGCCTAACTGCAACTTTATGTCAATAAGATGTCAGTAGATCAGTAACAACATGTGTAAAGTACAAAATGGCTACTACTTCCAATCTCTCAAGAATTTTCCTTGTGGCCCGCCCTAACCAGAAACATCTAAGCAAGGGAATTCTGAGACAGGAAGTTCAAGGTAACCAAATTGACCCATTACAAAGCCATTACATTCTTCAATGCTTAAATGTCTCTTCAGACCCTTTTATTGAGTTAGCTTTACTAAATTATGTTTTTCCTGCGGAAATAGTCCATTCACTTGGTTTAAAAAATTATTGGCATCACATAGAACCTCATAAATATTTATAATTTTTGTTTTTATATAAGTTAAGAAATTTTAATTTAAAAATTTTTTTAAAAAAATTATTGGCATAAAGTTATCCACAGAATTCTTATGAAATTCTTTTTAGCATTTTGTGATAGATCTACAGTTTTATTCCTTTTTCACTCATTCATTAATATGATTATCTTTATATTGGGTTTTTTCTTTTAATTTTTAATTTTTTTGTTTTAATTAGTTATACATGACAGTAGAATGAATTTATGCATTTTGATATATCATACATAGATGGGATATAATTTCTTCTTTATCTGAGTGTACATGTTGTAGAATCACATTGGTCATGCAGTCATAAAGTAATAATGTCTTTTGTTCTACTATCCTTTCTATCCCCACATTCCCTCCCCTCCTATGTTGGGTTTTAATTTAATTGCATTATGATCAGAGAAGGTAATATCTTTGTTATTGATTGGTATTTAAGTTTTGTGCTCAATTTTTATATATGTTCCATATGGGTTTGAAAATAATGTATATTCTCTAAAATTGATTGCAGAGTTGTATGTGTGCACATATACACATCTATATAAACACTATACACACACACACAAGACCACATGCCATCAGGTGGGTTAACTGAGTTGTCCAATCATCTATAAACTAATTTTTATTTACATGATCAATTACTGACAAAGATATTTAAAAATCACCCTCTACCAACTTAACCTGGTAAGTATATAAATTTTTATATAACTTTTAAACCTTTATTATTAGATGCATATGCATTCATAAATATTATATCTTCCTGGTGAATTATTCCTCTTCAGTAATGATGTTTTTTTTTTTTATCCCCAATGACATTTTTTGCCTTAAAGTCTAACCTGCCTGATATTAATATTGCTATAGTTTCAATTATGCTTTTTTTTCCTTTTTCCCCCTTTAGGAGTTTCTTTTACTTTCCTGTAAGCTCAGTTGTCTAGTAAAAGAAAAAAAAATTTTTTTTTTTTTTAATTTTATCCATTATTTCTGGTGTGTGGAGCAGGCAGGATTACAGGATCTGGCATGTTTCTAGATCTTGAAGTTCTAAAACTTTTTTAAAAAGCAAAACATATACTTACTTTTAAACAAAAATCTCATTACATTTGACTCAAGTTCAGAATAGCAGAATAAATTGCACAGTATATGCATAACCAAGGCCCCATCTTATCAATGAAGGTATCAGACCATATTAATTATAGGGATCAATGTAAATGTATTCACTTAGTACTACCATCAGACATGAAAAAAGTTTTTCTCCCACAGTCTTCCCCAACAATATAATGTGGTCCCCCTCCCTGAAGAGTGGTTTCCCCACAATTAAGGATCACTGGTTTATGGAATCTCCAAAAAAGATTACAATTTAAGGATGGAAATAGTTTATTCCATTAGTAGCTTGGTATTCCTCCTCCCATCCCTCAGTTACAGTTGTTGAACTTAATAGTTCTCTCTGGTGCTCTGTGGGTTCCTTTCAGGATGTTTCCAAACTGCTCCGGTCTCCCAATTAGGTGGCATCCAAGAGACCAACACTAGGCTCAAACCCAGCTTCTCAATGGCAATGGGTGAGTTCCAATATTAGAGGCAAATCTTATCAGCTGATATTTAACCTAGTCTACCAATTATAGTTTGCTAAGGGCTTCTGACACCCATACTGTGTCTGTTTATGATGGGAATTGGGATCTATTATTCTCGATTACTGACTATGAATTTCGGTGGTCCTGGAAAAGATTGTGATTTGAGTTCAGCTGTTTACAAGGAGCCTGAGGGAAGCTTTCATTTATAGTTAGCAAACTTGGCATTTGATGTGTTCAACTTCTCATATTTATGCACTACATGGAAAGCCTTTAAAAACTCATTAAAGTCAATGCTTCCATCTTTGTTTAAGTCCATTATATTGGCAAGCTCATCAACTTGGGAATCATCAATATCAACGTTGTAGTGAGTCCTGAAAAGTTTCCACATGGCCCGAAATTCTTCCATGGAGATCAGGCCTAAAAGAACATAGGAGAGAGTGGTGAGTGTTCATTTCAAGACCTACCTCAGGGAAGGATGAGGAAGCCACACTGATTGAAATAGCTCCAATTAGAAGCTCACTAATATACCTGACTATGAAGACACTGACAGAAATGGAGGTAAGGTCATAAATGTAAGCAGCAATATGTCACATGTCACTTTCAACTACCAAGTCATTCTGAGATTATTCTAAATCCAGAATGAGTAAACAGTGAAGAAATGTTAAGGGGATACGAACTGTGGGACTAGATGTAGTAGAGAAACTGCAAGAACTAAAATCTAAGGGTGAGGGACATGGAAGGACAACAGAGCAGAGAGCGAACTCAAAGCAGAGGGAAAAGGTACCTTGGGAATCAATGATAAGATTGCAAAGAATGATGTTGCCTTTTATATATATATATTTATATTTATATTTTTAGTTTTCAGTGGACCTTTATTTTATTTATTTACATGTGGTGCTGAGAATCGAACCCAGTGCCTCACACATGCTAGGCAAGTGCTCTCCCACTGAGCCACCACCCCAGCCCCATGATGTTGCCTTGTTAATAGGCAATAATTTACTTACATGGGTTAATTGTTGTTTTTTTGGTGTTCAAAGGTCTCTGCAGTAGGGGAATGGCTGATTTTTGTTTTCCCTTGTGATGCTGGGATCAAATCCAGGGCCTTGCACATGCTAGGCAAGCACTTTATCACTAAGCTAATTCCCAGCCCTAATATATATATTTTTTTAAGTTTGAAAAGAAGTTAATTGTTCATCAAAGATAAATAGAAAATGAGTTTTTATAGCTCCCAGTCTCCCAAACAGAGCCAGAACTCTAGGAATGATTTTTATTTCAGGAGTGACTAAAATATTAAAATGGAAAGTAAATTATTCTTCCATCTATGCTGGTGATTTAGAAAAGGAGCTATTCCAGTTTGACCAATGGCTATTGGGCTTGTATAGAATTCTATGGTCCAAAATACAGAATTTTGGGCCAAACTAAAATAACAACAACATTAAAAGTGAATTTGATTCCTTCAAATTTCATCAACTTTGTATGAAGAATGAAATAGATGAAAACAGTTCTAATTTCAGAGAAGCACGCCAGTCTTTTCTTTCTACTATTACTGAACTAATCAAAGTTCATTTACCTGAGTGATCAGAGTCAATGACATTAAATATGATTTGCAGGTCAGATCGGTATCTGTATAGAGTTTCAATTAGAGTAGATTGGACCTAAAACAAAGATTTTCTGAGTGTTAAAACACAAAGAAATAATGACATAGATTAATTTTAGCAAATGTAACAAACACAAGACATCATCACTAATTCAAATTATATGATTGAAATAGAAATTTGAGAAGGCAAGCCTTCTGTTGGCCCAACCATGCTTTTTATTTTTTTTTGGTACTGAGGATTGAATCCAGGGGTGCTTTACCACTGAGCTAAGTACCCCAGTCCTTTATTTATTTTTTATTTTGAGGTTGGGTTCAAACTTGTGTTCCTCCTGCCTCGGCCTCCCAAGTCACTGGGATTACAGGTCTGTGCCACTGTGCCCAGGTTGGCCCAACCATCTTTAATCAGATAAAATATCTTGCTCTATCTGATTCAAATGTATGATATGTCAAGGTCATTGTACTGTCATGTATAACTAATTAAAACAAAACAAAACAAAAAAAGATCTTGCTCTTGTGTTCCTTAGGGGACCAAAGTAAAAAGGCAGCAATAAATAACAATTGCCAACACATACAGAAAGCTTTATGTGTATCATTTCATTCAGTACTTGACAACCATAAGGAATAGGAACAGACCATTATTATGTCCATTTTACAGATTAGAAAACAAAGTAACTTTCCCAAAGGTTATGTCACATAGCTATGAATCTGACTCAGCTCTCTGAAACCAAGATCTATGATCTTAATCACCATGGTAAACTGCTTCTGAAGTCAGGCCAAAAGCCTCCTTCCTATGGATATTTTAGCTTTCAACCTGCACTTTTACTTCCCTTTTCTGTTTTTCTCATCTTCCCTGCAAACAATCAACCAAGTCCTAACTCCAATCAGCTCAATGTTATAACTAATTACTGATGAAATGTTAACTAATAAGAGCTGAAATCTGATAACTCCCTGGGCTATTCCCTTTTTATTAAGAGATTTTATGCTTTAAAATTCTTTAAGACATATTCTAGTTCATGTCAGCAAGTCTATACATGGTTTGGAATACATTAACTATTGTTAAGCGGTATGCTGCATGAAAGAATGAATGTCATATCTGCCCTTCTGCTGGACAGTACTTAAACAAGAATCACATATTTGACATGAGTTTTCATGCCAAAGCTTTTTCCTTTTTCTTTTTGTCTATCTTTAAAAGGTATAAATTTTCTGAACAGACCACAAAGTACCTTTGGCCTTTTCTGAAACTGCCACTCCCATCCATTAGATGATTCCATTCCTAACTTTTCAAAGGATTGAGTTACTTAGAGGTTGTCCCAAGGGTATTTCCCCCAGCCAGGTTTTAGTTGGGGCTATGTGTCACTTGCCTCTTTCACAGGTTTTTCAATGTGGACATCCTGGAAGCTGGACATGTAGTCTACATTTCCATTTTTGTCTATGTTTACCAGATGCAAACTCAGAGATCTCCATGGTAAGTTCAGCCCCAAAATGCTCTCCATAGAAAAAGCCCATTGGGCTATTGAAATTTTTCCTAACAACAACAACAACAAAAATAAACAAACAAAAAAGCACCCATATAATTTGTTATAATTTGACAAAAAATACGTATGTCCCTTGGCAAAGCCAGTAACAGCATGGGGTTTTGAGGCCTGAGGGCCTGCTGGTTTCCTTCATGATCTGTCCTACTCTGGTCCTAGAGCTCTGAGGAAGAAAAAACTAAGGATAGTCTTTCATATTCCACAGATCTTGCCTGTACTGTCGTGTGTAAGAAATCATACTTAGGGTATTAGATTGTTTTTGCCTTTTTCTGATTAATGAATTAAGGTATACCTATTTATTATAGAAGATTTAAAAATATACAAAGGATAAAAAATTTAGTTTGATTTTTAATATTTCAGTATATTCTCATCTATCTTCCCAATCTTTTCCCAAAAATATTAAATGTAATTTTTCAAAATATAAGTATCTTTATTTTTCTGATTATTAAAAATTATTCATTTTAAATGATTTTGAATAAATATAAAACAATGTTATAACTTCTATTTTTCTATGTATATAAATGTGTATACATAAATGTATATATAGTTTATTTTTCTTAAAATCAAATATTATTGTACTCCAGCATTACCACCACCCCCCCCACCCAGGGTTAAGGACCAAACATAGGGCCTTGCGCATGCTAGGCAAGCACTCTACCACTAGCTAAATCCCCAGTCCCCATGTATATATGTTTTATATACATGTATTGCATATGGCATAACACACATACACACAAACATTTAGTCTAACCTATTTTTTATTTTACTTACATCATGGACTTCCATCTATGTTAATAAACATAGATCTATATTGTCATTTTAATGGCTATGAAACTATTCCATTATTTCCTTAGGACCATTCCTAGAAGTGGAATTGAATGATCAAATGGTATGCAGATTTTTAAGGCTTTTGATAAACGGTCATCCCTTGGTATCCATGGGGGATTGATTCTAAAACCCCCTTACGGATACAAAATTCCACAGATGCTCAACTCCCTTATATAAATGATGAAGTGTTTGCATATAACCTACATATAGCCTCCCATATACTTTAAGTCATCTCTAGATTATTTATAATACCTAACACAATGTAAATAGTAAACAGATTGATTTTTTTAATATTTCAAAATATTTTTCCCAATATTTTGTCTTTTTCTTTTAAAAATTAATTTATTTATTTTAATTAGGTATATATGACCTCAGAATGCATTTTGATTCATTGTACACAACTGCAGCACAACTTTACACTTCTATGGTTGTACACAATGTAGGGTCACACCATATGTGCACTCATACATGTATCTAGGGTAATGATGTCCATCTCATTCCACCATCTTTCCTACCCCCATGCACCCTCCCCTCCTCTCCCTTCCCTTTGCCCAATGAAAGTTCCTCCATTTTTCACATTCCCCCCCCCCAAACTCACTTCCAACCCCACCCTACCCCTGTTATGGACCAGTATCCACTTATCAAAGAGAACATTTGGCCTTTGTTTTTGTTTGGGGGTGGGGGATTGGCTTATTTCGCTTAGCATGATATTCTCCAACTCCATCCATTTACCTGCAAATGCCATAATTTTATTCTCTTTTACTGATGAGTAATATTCCATTGTATATATATACACCATAGTTTCTTTATCCATTCATCTATTGAAGGGCATCTAAGTTGCTTCCACAGTTTAGCTATTATGAATTGAGCTGTTATGAACATTAATGTGGCTCGTTACTATAGTATGCTGATTTTAAGTCCTTTGGTTATAGACTGAGGAGTGGGATAGCTGGGTCAGATGGTGGCTCCATTCCAAGTTTTCTAAGGAATCTCCATACAGCTTTCCAGATTGGCTGCACCAATTTGCAGTCCCACCAGTGATGTATGAGTGTGCCTTTTCCCCAACATCCCCGCCAATATTTATTGTTGTCTGTATTCTTGATAACTGCCATTCTGACTGGTGTGAGATTAAATCTTAGAGTAGTTTTGATTTGCATTTCTCTAATTACTAGAGATGTTGAACAAACATTTTTTCATGTTTGTTGATCGAATGTATATCTTCTTCTGAGAAGTGTCTGTTCAGCTCCTTAGCCCATTTATTGATTGGGTTGGGTTTTTTTTTGGTGTTAAGTTTTTTGAGTTCTTTATATATCCCGGAGATTAGTGCTCTGACATGAGTATGGCAAAAATATGCTCTCAAAACGCAGGCTCTCTGTTGCAATATTTTATCTTAATGGTGCACTGTAAATGCAGTGGCATCCACCCTTCTAGTGAGTTACACTGGCACCACAGTGGGAGGGCTCCATCCTCTTCAGTCCTAGCCAATTAGCTGGAAACCAACTCTGAGTGGAGGTCCATTAGTAAACTTCTGTCCCACCTAGTGGGCCAGAGCTATTCCCTCGGCAATGTGGTCTTAATTTCAACCTTGATTAGGAGTTAAGGAATTCTTCTAAGTATGTACTATCCTTGAATACGCTCTCTCAGCTTTAGAGATAATAGCTCCTCTCTATACTTGCTATTTCAAATTTTTTTAAGAGTTCTCTTGTATCCTTTTTAATAGTTAATCATCTTTTACTAGTTAATAATTCTTTATATTAAATTTCCCAGTTCAAATTATTGATGTGGTTTCTGCACCCTAAATAGACTCTAATACATACACTAATACATGGAAATGAAATAAATTTTTGTATATTGACTTTGTGTTTGACAACTTGCTAAATTCATTTATTAATTCCAGTAGTTTTTCTGTGTATTCCTTTGGATTTTCTATATTCTCAATTAAGTTGTCTACACTTAGCGACAGTTTTATTTCTACTTTTTAAAGTTTTATTTTATCTCTTTTATTTGCCTTATTGGACTGGCTAGCATCCCTACTAGAATGTTTAACAGATGTCCTGATAGTGGGCATCTGTTATTAGTTTCCTATTGCTTCAATACCAAATTAACACAGACTTAGTAGTGAAACAACACAAAGGTATTCTTTTACAGTTCTGGAGGTCAGATGTCTGAATTAGCTTCCCTGGGCAAAAGTCAAGGTGTCAGCAAGGCTGGTTCCTTCTGAAGGCTCTGAAGAGGGGAATCTGTTTCCTTGCCTCTTCCAAGCTTCTAATGGTTGCCTATGTTTATTGGCTTCGGGCCTCTTCTTCCATCTTCAAAGGATTTCAATATCTGGTTCCATCATCATAGAACCTTCCCTTCTAACTTTGCCTCCTCCTACATACTTCTTAAAAGAACCACTGTGATTACATTAGGCCCACTTGATAATGCAGGACAATCTCCCCAGGTAAAGATCCTGAAGTTAATCACACCTTGAAGTCCCTTTTTTCATATAAGGTACCATACTAAGATTTGGGAATGAGAATGTGGACATAAGCCTACCAGAGCATCTTACTTTCATTCCCACTTTTTCTCCATCAAGTATGCTGTTTGTTATAAGCTTTGATAGATATCCTTTGTGAGATTAAGGAAGTTCACCTCTATTTAGTTTTCTAAATTTTCTTTTAAATCATAAAACTAAGGTGAAATAAATGTTTTCTTATTTTGAGAGAATTATGACTTCTTTAATTTGTTAAAGTGGTAAATTACATTGATTTATTTTCGAATGTTTAAAAAACCTAGAATTCCTAGCATTCCTAGGGGGAAAAACAACCTGGTTGGCTAATATTTCATTTAGGATTTTTTTTTCATCTAAATGCATCATTGAGATTAGACCTTAATTTTCCTTTTCCATAATATTCTTGTTAGGTTTTGATATCAAGGTGATGCTGATCTCCTAAAATAATCTGGGAAGTGTTCCCTCCATTTCTGATATTTTATAAGACTTCTTTTCTTTCTTAAATGTATATTGCAATGATTAATAAAACTGAGAGCAGAGCTTTCTTTTCATAAAGTTTTAAACTTTCAGATTCAATTTATTTAATAGTTACAAGATTTCTCAGATTTTCTATTTTTGTGTCAATTTGTGTGTGTGTGAATATGTATATTTTAGGAATGTGTCTATTTGGTCTGAATTTTGAATTCATTGGCATTACAGTTTTTACAATACATCTTATGATCTTCCTAAAGTCTGCAGTAATACCTTTTTCAAAGTTGGCATTAGTTATCTGTGCTTATGCATGTGCACTCTCTTCCTTATGCATTTTCTTTTACTAGTGTTTTATCAACTTTGCCAGTTTTTTCAAAACACTATTTTTTCACTTTGTTAATCACAGTTTCATCTTTTAAAATATATGCATTTAAGGTTATCAATACCTCTCTAATTTGCATTCCATAGTTTTAAATGTTGTATTTTCATTATCATTTGGTTTCATTATTCTAATTTCCACTGTGATTTCTTCGTTGATCCAAGGATTATTCAGAAGTGCATTTCTTATTTCCAAGACAAAAGAGGATTTTATGGCTAGATTATGTTATTGAGTTGTAGCTGCTTTCACTATGCCAGAGAATTAGTTTATTCTATAATGTTTCCAATCCTTCACAATCTGTTGAGATTTGCTTTATGTGCCAGTTTATGGTCAATTTTTTAAAATGTTCCATTTGTGCTTGACAAGAATATGTATTCTGAAATGTTGGGTGCGGCATTCTTTGTATGTTTCCCTTCAGGGAATGGTTGCTAATATTGTGTTGGTCTCTTCTTTTTGTTCCTGAGAGAAGAGCATTAAAATCTCCCACCTTGATGGTGGATTTTCTTACTTCTACTTGTTTTCTCTGTTTTTGTATATTTTTGAGGCTATATTAATGGGCGCATACACATTTGAAATGGATTTAATTGGCAAATTAACTTTCAATGTATTGTGTATACAATTCCACTGTCAACTGGCTTCTTTTATAGCTGTTGATTAGTCTATGAGTCTTAACTGTTATGCCTTTGTTTCAATGTTTTTACTCCCTAACGACTTTTATGATTTTTCTCTTTGCTATTAGTGCCTTGTAGTTTCAAAAGTGTATGTAGCTGAAGATTTAATTTTATTTATACCTATTTGAGAATCATTGTTCCTCTTTACCTATCACTTTAGCATTTCATCAGTGCTAGAAAAGTCTGAGGCATTTTACATTCTTTCTATTCTCTCCTCTTAGTACCTTGATTAGATATACATTAAACCTTTATTTATTTATTTATTTTAATTGTTGATAAACCTTTATTTTATTTATTTATGTGTGGTACTGAGAATTGAACCCAGTGTCTCACACATGCCAGGCAAGTGCGCTACTGCTGAGCCATAGCTCCAGCCCCAAACCTTCTTATTTTATTATTCATAACTCTTAATCTAATTCTTTCTTAAGCAGTGTCTAATATTCTGTTGAACATGTCTAATATTCTGTTTAACAAGTCTCATATCTATTTGGTTCTTCTTCAAATCATTTTCTTTTTTTTTATTTTAATCTTTTTTTTTAAATTTTTTATTGTTGGCTGTTCAAAACATTACATAGTTCTTGATATATCATATTTCACACTTTGATTCAAGTGGGTTATGAGTTCCCATTTTTACCCCATATACAGATTGCAGAATCACATCAGTTACACATCCATTGATTTACATATTGCCATACTAGTGTCTGTTGTGTTCTGCTGCCTTTCCTATCCTCTACTATCCCCCCTCCCCTCCCCTCCCCTCCCCTCTTCTCTCTCTGCCCCCTCTACTGACATTCATTTGTCCCCCTTGTATTATTTTTCCCTTTCCCCTCACTTCCTCTTGTATGTACTTTTGTATAACTCTGAGGGTCTCCTTCCATTTCCATGCAATTTCCCTTCTCTCTCCCTTTCCCTCCCACCTCTCATCCCTGTTTAATGTTAATCTTCTTCTCATGCTCTTCGACCCTACTCTGTTCTTAGTTACTCTCCTTATATCAAAGAAGACATTTGGCATTTGTTTTTTAGGGATTGGCTAGCTTCACTTAGCATAATCTGCTCTAATGCCATCCATTTCCCTGTAAATTCTATGATTTTGTCATTTTTTAATGCAGAGTAATACTCCATTGTGTATAAATGCCACATTTTTTTTTTTCCATTCATCTATTGAAGGGCATCTAGGTTGGTTCCACAGTCTTGCTATTGTGAATTGTGCTGCTATGAACATCGATGTAGCAGTGTCCCTGTAGCATGCTCTTTTTAGGTCTTTAGGGAATACACCGAGAAGGGGAATAGCTGGGTCAAATGGTGGCTCCATTCCCAGCTTTCCAAGAAATCTCCATACTGCTTTCCAAATTGGCTGCACCAAT